TCCCAGAATTTCCCAAGTTAGCAAGAAGACCATATGACTTAAATAAGCCAAGGTTGAAAAACATACGTAGCTCTATACTGAACCGTGACCGTGTTTTATAATATGTTATGACCGGGATTTACTTTGCTATGTTTGCTTAATGATTGCCACAAAAAGTAGCAAGAATCGGATTGGTCATGTGCTGATCTGCTTTCGGACCGTCCCAACTTACGACTGCAATTCCCAGGCTCAATGACAGTCATAAATCGAAGATTACTAGTATGCAAGACCTGTTCACCTAGCCAAAAGGGGCTGAAATTTGTAACGTCCAGAGCAAATGAGATAACATATGGAAGCAGCAAAGACAACCACTTCCCTAATTCGCAGAAGTATAAGGGGAGGGAGTTGGCAGAACAACCAGGCTTGCAAGATTCTGTTATTAGAGCCGCTCTTTTTTTTTTTTTTAAAAAAAATAGTTTTCGCCTTCCTGCGGAGTTAATTCCTTGATTTACCTGTCGGGATTGACAGGTTCTTGCTGGAGAAAACTGCTCAAGATCGCAACTATGAGAAAAGTACAATTTTGCATTTCTTGGGCGTGGGTTTTGGCCACCGAAACTTCAAAGGGATTTATTTCCAAGTCAGCAGACAAGGGAATTCTGCTTTTGTTCCAGCGGGATGGCTCTGTTCTTTCTGGCTTGTTTTGAATATACGCCAGGCTCCGGCGCCAACAACCTAGATGAAATGGGTTTTGGGAAAAGGGGGCTGGAAAGTTAGGGGTGACTTTTGTCCGGCTTCAGGATCTGAGCTTTTGGGCAGGAGAAAAGAAGGGAAAGGTCTGCTTGGGGGTGGATGGGTGGGTATAGCCCAGTGTTTCTCAACCTTGGAAGCTTGAAGATGGGTGGACGTCAACTCCCAGAATCCCCCAGCCAGCAACGCTGGCTGGGGGATTCTGGGAGTTGACGTCCACCCATCTTCAAGCTACCAAGGTTGAGAAACACTGGTATAACCCAAAGTCCGTTTTATCCTGTTGCCTACCCAACACCTCAACCCAACCCAAGGATTACGCAACTCGTTCAGTGGAAAGCCCAACCGAAGCGCCCCCCAACTCCTCAAGCGTAAATCCTACCGAAGAGGGAGTAAGCAGATCGTGGGAACGCGGCCGCAGTGCATCTTTGGCTACCCCGCATTACAACGCGTGCAAAAAAGAGGGGAGCAAGCAGGACCCCCAATTGCGCTCCCCACTCCCTCCCTCCCTCCTCCCCTGCCCAGCTGCCCCCTCCCCTCCCCTCCCCAGTTGCCCCCTCCCCTCCCTCCCCTCCCCTGCCCAGCTGCCCCCTCCCCTCCCCTCCCTCCCCAGTTGCCCCCTCCCCTCCCTCCCCTCCCCTGCCCAGCTGCCCCCCTCCCTCCCCTCCCTCCCCAGTTGCCCCTCCCCTCCTCCCCTCCCCTGCCCCCCAGCTGCCCCCTCCCCTCCCCTCCCTCCCCAGTTGCCCCCTCCCCCTCCCCTCCCCTCCCTCCCCTCCCCTGCCCAGTTGCCCCCTCCCTCCCCTCCCTCCCCTCCCTGCCCAGCTGCCCCCTCGCCTCCCCTCCCTCTCCTCCCTTCCGCACCTGCTGGCTCCTTGTACCCGGGCGGGAAAAGCAGCTGCCAGTAACGTCGGAAAGCCCCGTCCAGCACTTCGCACCCGGGTTCCACCGCCGAGTCGTTGGCATAGGCGAATCGGAACTGCCGGGAGCTGAGCCTGCAGAGGCTTCGCGGGTCCTGGCGGAGCAACTGCGGCTGAGGCCACACGGCAGCGGCCAAGCCGGCGGCCAGGAGCAGGAGCAGCGCGTCCGCCGTGCCCGCCATCCGTGCAAGGAGAGAAGGCGCGACCGCCCGCCTGGGACGAACTGCAGGAAAAAACCGCTATGGAGATCACGTGACGCAGCCGGGTCACGTGAGAGGCGGCTGGCCCCGCCCATCGATCCCGCGCGCGCTCAGTCGGCGCCCCCCCCCCCGGGCAGAAGCGTCTCGGGTGGCCAGCGAGGAGATGGGGGGGGGGGGTGCTGCCCGGTGAACCGGTCTCGGTCTGGGACCCTGCGCTTGTCTGTCTTTTTCTTTCTTTCTTCTCTTTCTCTATTCCTTCTTTTTCTTTTGTATTTTTGTTTCTTCTTTCTTTCTCTATTCCTTTTTTTTGTTGTTTTTTTTCTTTCTCTATTCCTTTCTTTCTCTTTTTCTCTATTCCTTTCTTTTTCTTTCTTTCTCTTCCTTCCTTTCTCTATTCCTTCTTTTTCTTTTTGTATTGTTGTTTCTTCTTTCTTTCTCTATTTCTTTCTTTTTCTTTCTTTCTCTATTCTTTTTCTTTCTGTTCTGTTTTTTTCTTTTTCTTTCTCTATTCCTTTCTTTCTCTTTCTCTATTCCTTCCTTTCTCTATTCCTTTCTTTCTTTTCTTTCTCTATTCCTTTCTTTCCTTCTCTTTCGTCCTTCCTTTCTCTATTCCTTCTTTTTCTTTCTTTTTGAATTTTTGTTTTTTCTTTTACTCCTTCTTCCTTTCTTTCTCTATTCCTTTTTGTTTCTTTGTATTTTGTTTCTTCCTCTATTCCTTCTTTCTTCTTTCTTTCTATTCCTTTTTTTTTCTTTCTTCTTTATTTCCTTTTTCTCTCTTTTTTCTCTCTATTCCTCCTTTTTTCTTTGTTTTTCTCTATTCTTTTTTTCTTTGTTTCTTTGTATTTTTCTTTTTCTTTCCTCCCTCCCTCCCTCTCTCTCTTTTCCTTTGTCTTTCCTCCTTTCCTTTCTTCCCTTTTTTTTCCTTTTCCTTTTCCTTTCCTCTCTCCTCTCTTCCTCCCGCTCACTTCTTCAATTTATATGCCACTCATCTCACCCTCCAAAGCAAAGCTTTAACAGGCCGTGCAGATAGAAATCTAGCTCCATCCTGCCAGCAAAATGGCAGCATGGCAGGGCAAATCGATGGAAGGATCTTTGAGCAACACGTTACGCTTGCCAGACACATCCGTCGGGTTTCCTTAGCAGCAGCATGGAAGTGGGCGGTTAGAGCCTTTTTCCAAGCTGCTTTTTTAATGCCCAGCTCTAGGCTTATTACTGTTATTTACAGCTCTTCTTTTGAGAGTAGGACCACTGACTAAAAGAAGTGAAGCTGTGAGTTTCTTTTTGCTATACTTTGTGTATTCAGGATTTGTCCAGGATGCTCAACCATGCTTTATTTTAGCCCAATATTTTGGGTTCAGGGGTGGAAGCCATACAGAATAGAATAGAATAGAACAGAACAATAGAGTAGAGTACAATAGAATAAGGAATAGAGTAGAATAAAGTAGAGTAGAATAGAACAGAGTAGAGTAGAATAGAATAAGGAATTGAGTAGAGTAGGATAGAGTAGAGTAGGATATAATAGAATAAGGAATAGAATAGGATATAATAGAATAAGGAATAGAATAGAGAAGACTAGAATAAGGAATAGATAGAATAGAATAGAATTAGGAATAGAGTAGAGTAGAATAGAATAGAAAAAGGAATAGAGTAGAATAGAACAGAGTAGAATAGAATAAGGAATTGAGTAGAGTAGGATATAATGGAATAAGGAATAGAATAGAGAAGAATAGAATAAGGAATGGAATAGAGTAGAATAGAATAGAATAGAATTCTTTATTGGCCAAGTGTGACTGGACACACAAGGAATTTGTCTTTGGTGCATATTCTCTCAGTGTACATAAAAGGACAAGATACATTCGTCAAGAATCATAAGGTACAGCACTTCATGATAGTCATAGGGAACAAATAAGCAATCAAATCATATTAGGAAACAACATAAATTGTAAGGATACAGAATTAGAACAGAACAGAATAGAATCTTTTATTGGCCAAGTGTGATTGGACACACAAGGACTTTGTCTCCGGTGCAGAAGCTCTCAGTCTCCATAAGGAGAATAAAATCCATTCCTCAAGAATCACAAGGGAAATCCTAAAGTTTGGCCCCGACTACTCCATAACCCACTCTGATCAGCTCGCAAGGCCAGAATTGAGGTCAAGAACCCAGCCTCAAAACCCGCCATGCATGCCAAGCGGGCCCCCCACCCCGCATTTAAGCGGCGGGCCTCCTGAGGAAACCAAACCGCCCCCTCCCCCTCCCCCCACAGGCCCCACCAACCAGCCTTAGCCACACCCAAAATGGCGGTCGCCTCTTCCCCCCCCCATACACCGCGCTTGTGGCGGGCGAGCGAGCGAGCGCGCGCGCACCCTCCCGAGGTGGCCCCCCCGCGTGACGAATTCCCTCCAAGCCACGCTCAAGATGGACGTGGGGACCCCGCCTACGGCCTGAGAGAGAGAGAGAGAGAGAGATGCGGCTGAGGGATGGAGAGAGAGAGGGTGGAAAGAAAAAAAAGGCGGGGTGTGGCCCCGCCCCCTCGCTGCTCTTCCCACCCCCGCCCCACCGGGCTTGTGGCGAGTGAGCGAGCGCGCGCGCACCCTCCCGAGGTGGCCGCCCGCGTGACCAATTCCCTCCCAGCCACGCTCAAGATGGACGTGGGGACCCCGCCCACGGCCTAAGAGAGAGAGAGAGAGAGAGAGAGAGAGAGAGAGAAAAGGAGGGGGGGCGGCTGAGGGAGGGAGAGAGAGAGAGAGAGGGAGGGGGAAAAAAAAAAGGCGGGCCGCGGCGTGGCCCCGCCCTTCGCCGCGCGTCCCGCCGTGCGTGCGTGCCTTGCGTGCGTCCCGTGCGTGGCGTGCGTGGAGGTGACGGAGCGGGCCGGACGCGTCCCTTTGTTGGCTCAGCGGCGCCTGTGAGGAGGGAGCGAGCGGGGCGGGCGGGCTTGTGGCGATCGCTCCGCCGAGAGGAAAAGGGAGGCGTGCAAGGCCCGAAGCCTTCGGATCCCGGGGGAGTGGGAGTGGGGGCGGGGAGGAGGAGGAGGAGGAGGGGGAAGGCGCCGCCCCGCTCCTGAGGGCCCGTCTCGCCGCCCTCGCGTGCTCCGGCTGCCCCCCCCCTCCGCGCGCGCCCCCGCTCGCTCGCTCGCCCCCCCTCCCCTCCCTCCCTCCTCCCCCTCCCCCCGCCCTCCCCCCCGCCGGCCGCCATGGACTCGGACGAAGGCTACAACTATGAGTTCGACGAGGACGAGGAGTGCAGCGAGGACAGCGGCGCCGAGGAAGAAGACGACGACGAGCCCGACGACGACGAAGACGACGAGCCCGACGACGACAACCTCGACCTGGGCGAAGTGGAGCTGGTCGAGCCCGGGCTGGGCGTGGGCGGACAGCGAGACGGGCTGCTGTGCGGCGAGACGGGCGGCCTGGGGCCCGGTGGAGGCGGCGGCGGCGGTGGAGGCGGAGGCGGAGGAGGAGGCCTGGGCGGCAGCGGGCTAGGCGGGCCGGGCCCTGGTGGCGGAGGTGGAGGCGGCGGAGGCGGCCTGGGCCACGAGCAGGAGGAGGACTACCGCTACGAGGTGCTGACGGCCGAGCAGATCCTGCAGCACATGGTGGAGTGCATCCGAGAGGTCAACGAGGTCATCCAGGTGCGCGTGCCCGACGCGCGCCGCCGACGGTGGAGGGGAAAAAAGAGGGGAGGGGGGAGAGAGAAGAAGAGAGAAGGGCCGCGCGGGCTGGAACAAGAAGAAGCAGGCCCGGCGGGAGGGGGGGGGAGGAGGAGGAGGGGGCGCTGCGAGAAGCCGCGGGAGCGGACATCGCCAGCCACGCCTTCAAGGGGCGATGCTGCTGGCTGGGGCTGTAACTGGGGTCGGACCCCCCCTCCCCTTAATCCACCCCACCCGGAGGAAAGGGCGAGGGGAAGCCACAGGGATCCCTTTGCCAGGCCCCGAGATCGGCTTCCCCCCCCCCCCCCCCAACCTTCCGCCACCACCACCCAGCCAGCACTCCCCTCTTTCCATGGCTGGAGTGATCTCCGGCCTTGCAGCCCCAGCCTGGAAAGAAAGAGGGAGTGTGTGTGTGGGGGGGGGATGCTCTAGACACAGCCAGAAAGGGTTAAGGTGCCCCCTTCCTCCTTTGTGGGCACTCCCCTTCAGAGGGGTGAATTGGGATCCTTAGCAGAGAAGAAAAGAAAGATTCTCCTTCCCCCCCCCCACCCCAGTTGCTTTGTGGGCACTAAGGTGTCTCCTCCCCCCCCCCTTCAGAGGGGTGAATCTGGGTGACCGCAAAGCAACTGGGAGGGGAGCATGGTTATCCTTTCTCTCCACTAAGAAGGACCCCGATTCACCCCTCTGAACCATGCTTTGTGGGCACTAAGGGGCCGCCCACCTTCAGAGGGGTGAATCCGGGTCCTTAGCAGAGAAGAAAAGAAAGATTATCCTCCCCCCCCCAGTTGCTTTGTGGGCACTGTGTGTCTCCCCCACCCCTTTCCGACTTCAGAGCGGTGAATCAGGGTCCTTGGCAGAGAAGAAAGGATAACCATGCCTCCCCACCCCCCAAGTTGCTTTGTGGGCATTAAGGTGTGTCCCCACCTTTAGAGGGGTGAATCTGGGTGACTGCAAAGCAACTGGGAGGGGAGCATGGTTATCCTTTCTCCACTAAGAAGGACCCTGATTCACCCCTCTGAACCATGCTTTGTGGGCACTAAGGTGCCGCCCACCTTCAGAGGGGTGAATCCGGGTCCTTAGCAGAGAAGAAAGGATAATCATGCCCTCCCCCAGATGCTTTGTGGTCACCAAAGTGCCCCGCCCCCTTCAGAAGGGTGAATCGGGGTCCTTAGCAAAGAAAATGTAACCCTACAGCTGGATTGCTCAAGAAATGCAGGAAGGTAAAGAGCTTGGGGGGAGGGGGGTTGGTGGCACCTTTCGGTGTGTGCCAGGTAAGCAGTGACTGGTCGCCCCACCAACCTGGATGGGAACATGGCCAAGGCAGAGTCATCACCTTCCTATTGGCATCACCCAGAGGGGAACCCCAGGCTTTGTAGGATCTGACTTGGAAGGGTTTGTGCAGTAGGAAAGCTCAGCCGCCCCAGTCCTGCAGTTGAGCGATACTGGCATGAATTCTTTTGGGTGACCCTGGGCAGCTGCTCAGAATGGCAACATGACGACAAGGGCAGGGCCCAGGAATGTGTACCTATGTCTTGGCATTTTTGAGAGGCAGGACTGTTCCGCAGGACTCTATGTACACAGTTGTTGAAAGGGATTGACTCAGGTTGGCTACAAGTTAAGTCCAATACGGAGTGGCGTTTCCATTGGTACCAAAAATATTCTAGAAATGTGATATGAGAGTAGGTGTTTCTTATTTCCTGGAACTTTTAACAAACCCTTATTGTGGGGGCAAGTGTATTTTGCATAGGACTGGCTGTCTTGTTAAAATTGTATAGCTTCCTGTTGATGTCATTGATATAAATGGGGACCAAAGTTTTTTAGCATTTGTAAGTTCTATTTCACGTTAGGGTTATAGTTAGAATTACACGGTTGCAGTTCACACATCATAACGTCGTATTGCTGGCTCTGAAAACAAGGCTAGGAAAATCCCAGATTAAGGCTTGAGTTATTCATAATCTGAGCATTTTATACCTTCCAGCTGAAACTGGCATCCAAAGCTGCAGAAGTTATAAACAGTAAAATGGTTTAGCATGTAGGCGTGTAATTGCATTTCCTGTTCTAAGGTAAGTGAAGGTGTTAAATCAGTCTAGGTGGATCAGTCTTGCTCCTGGTCAGGTTGACTTGTAAGGATCAAAGGTGCTCTTAGTCTTCAAGACAATTCAAATGAGATGAACGTGGTCAGGAGGTGGACTGTAATTACTAAATTTTAAGCTGTGCAAAAGTTTTGCCTCTAATTTGCTTTGAGCTGATGACAATTGCTGAGTGCTAATGATGGATAGGTTTGGTTGAATTGATTTCCTGGTTTTGTTTGAAAACTCTCCTGGTTTTAGCATAATGACTATTCTGAGGCAGAGGTGCACATAAGAAACATTTACACCGTTTCCTTGTTTTAGCAGTATTTTCAGAAGGTGATCAGGAAACTGAGATTAGAATAAAATGGGGATGGGGGGTAGGTATCCACATCTTCCAGAGATAAATAACCACTTCCTGTGAAGAACAGGAATGGTAATCTGTAATCCTGTCATTCCATAAATGTGTCCAATTCAGGTAAGTGATCTATGCTCAGCAGGTGAGAAAGCTGTATTTCTGCTTCCAAGAGCTATTCAGATAGGTATTCTCAAGAATACCTGAGCAGCAAGGGGCTCTGGCCTTCTCTTGAGTGAGCATTCAGACAGCCCACAAGCGGCTCTTACCCTTCTATGTAAATGTTGCGTGGTGTACCTGTAACGTTGAACACATAAGACCTTGTTGAGGTGCTGTTGACGTGGCTTGCCATAAAACCCCCTCTTTCTATCCCAGGTTTCTTTAGGATTGGCTTGATGGGCCCAGACACATTGGCGTTCATGTCCCTGAAACTCTACAAATATATATACATATATTTATAAAAACTTCCAAGGGTCATTCATGATGTGTTAGGCGAGGATGACAGAAGTGGTGAACTTTAGCCCCTGTATTTTAAAGAACTCTCCTAAGAGACAAGTTCTTCCTTATCCTCCTCTGTGTGTTAATACCAGCCTTGTGCTTACCTGGAGATTTGCTCTGACTTTAGGAAGGTGGAAAACAACCGAACTAAACACACAGCGGTGATTTTCTTTTTGCATTGAGAACTCACAAACAAGGCGACGTTTAATCCTCTAAAGATTTGCGAAAGGAAAGGGAAGAGCAGCTTGACCCTGGTGCCAAGAACTTGAGTGGTAGTTAAAGCTGGGTGAGTAATTGTGGGTGTGGATGGGCCGTATTCCTTCCGCTTTCCCGTTCTAATTGAACAGGCCCAAATCCAGAGATAATCTGGCTCTAATCTTCGATACAGAGGCAATGTAAAGACTGACAGTGAAGGACATCTTTGTGTCTGGCAGGCCAAGGTCAGATTTTAAGAAGGCCTTATTAAGACAACGGACTGTCTTATCTTAGAATCACACTTGTTTCTTTATATGAAACAGTCTCTCAACTTTTGACCCTCGCTGCGGATGGCTGGGTAGTCCAATTTCCTTCACGAAATAAAACATTAGAATTAAGGCCCTTTCGTGGTTTGTCTCTTTGTTTTCTTTTGTTAATTTTGGGATTGAGAGAGGAGCAAGTTGCCCACTCTAGTCAAATGGGGTGGCTAGTCAGACGGACTTCATGGCGGCATTTCGGTATCCTTGTCCTTAAATTGTCAACATTATCGTTTGAGAAGGATTCAAATATTGCCTGGAAACCCTGCAAAATGAATATTGGCTTTTATCTCTTCATAGGGGAGTACACATGCACCCCTTTTAAATAGCTGGTGTTTAATGTCTTTCAGAGTACCTAATACAAGGATGCTATGCTATGTTTTGGCCCTTCTGAAATGTAATTACATAATGTAAATGTAATTCCTTTTTGCATTTTTTTTTAATTTGATTTATATGCCGCCCTTCTCCGGAGACTCAGGGCGGCTTACAATGCGCTAAGCAATAGCCTTCATCCTTTTGTATATTTATACAAAGTCATCTTATTTCCCCCACAATCTGGGTCCTCATTTTACCTACCTTTGAAAGGATGGAAGGCTGAGTCAACCTTGAGCCTGGCGAGATTCGAACCTGCAGTAATTGCAGGCAGCTGGTCTTAATAACAGGGTGCTTTAGACCACTGTACTATCAAGGCTCTTGCATTCAAAAGCATGTTTTAATATTTTGGAAACATGAAGCCGCTGAACATTTCATTTGCCTTATTATTTTTTTTAAGGCTGTGGAGAAGAAGAAGAAAATTGAATATGAAATGTGTTATGTTTAGTGTGTACATGCCACTATGGCCTGGTGTCCGATTCAAACCTTTGCTACGTTCTTGGTTTGTGTGGTAAGCTTCAAGCTTCCTCCACTGTACGTAAGAAATTCTGTTGCTTACCAAAGGATTGTACTTTTTTTTTAAAGTAAAACCCACCCGCCTTGTGTTTTTTTCTTCGCTTTGTGTATGAAGTAAACCACGTGCTTCCTACAGAACATTAATTAATAATGGCATTACAGTAGTCCTCAACTTACAACCGCAATTGAGCCCCAAATTTTTGTTGCTGAGTGAAGACAAGTGAATTTTGCCCTGAATTACTGCAATAGTTAAGTTAGCAACACCTTTGTTAAGTGACTCTGTCTTCCCCAATGTCAGAAGGCGATCACATGACCCCAGGACACTGCAGCCGTCATTAATATGAATTGGTTGCCAAGTATCTGAATTTTGATCACGTAATAAGGAAGCTGCAACGGTTTGTAAGTGTGAAAAAATGCTCATAAGTCACTTTTTTTAATGCCGTTGTAACTTCGAACGGTTGCAAAATGAACTGTTGTAAGTTGAGGACTACCTGATTAGTACCTAGAGATTCAATAAGTGACTTGAGGTATGTTTTGACATTTGGAATTCTTCCAGTTTTTAAAAAACAAAAACCAGCAAAAATTATTAGCAGGACGCTGTGATAGGAACCAATTTGTTGTCACTTGGGTGTCGTAATCTCTGGAGATTTTATTTTTTTTGCAGTTTTCCCTATAAAGCAATAAGAGTTTCTCTGCCATTCTCATTTTGGAGTTGTTGGGAATAGAGAGACCCAGATTCGAATTCCGCCTTAGGCAAGGAAGCTGGCTGACTCTCCGCCCTAGATTGCAAACTAGAGCCCTGGTAGCGCAGCAGACTAAAGCACTGTTATTAACATCAGCTGCCTGCAATTACTGCAGGTTCGAATCTCGCCAAGGCTCAAGGTTGACTCAGCCTTCCATCCTTTTTAAGGTAGATGAAATGAGGACCCAGTTTGTGGGGGCAATAAGCTGACTTTGTATAAATATACAAAAGGATGAAGGCTATTGCTTAACGCATTGTAAGCCGCCCTGAGTCTCCGGAGAAGGGCAGCATATAAATCAAATTTAAAAAAAAGTTGAAAAAAACATCTGTCTGGACCAGGGAGGTTGGTTGTGGTCCAAGATCCTCAATGGAGGGACTAATTCATCTAGCAGTGAAGTAATTCATACCGATGATGTATATATATGCCAATCTACTGTATCTAGTAGATTGTATCTCATTCTGCTGCTCTCTCTTAGCGGCGCCATGTTTCTGGAATTTTGATTTTAACCAAGTTTGTTACTCTGCCCAAATATTATCTCAAATGGGAAAAGATTGATATTAAAAAAAAAGAGAGAGAGAGAGATTATGATTTCATTATTGCTACGATATCCTCAGAAATCAATAATCCTGTTATTTAGGTTGAATATTTGGAAGGATTTCCCAGGCCGTGCAAATTGCAACACTTAAAAGTTTGCACGAATTGCAACACTATTGCCATCTACGTGTCAGCCTACATTCAACTTGTTTGCTTTTTATATAGCTGTATTTTTTTTTTTATTTTGTTTGTTTACAGTGGACTATGGTTTCTCTCCTCTGATAGCATTGGCTGTGAGAATGATGAAATTTATATTTGTTAGCGAATAGGAAAGCAATACGTTGATGCTGGAGAATGGTGGTTTGGTTGTTGGCCTTGTACGGCAGGCTTCTCATTAAGCGATGATGTGACTGGTGGACTTTGAGCCAGCCAGCCTTTCACATAAGTTCGAGATTAAAGTCAGCAGCTGATGTTCCTTGGGAGAGGAAGCGATGGAGAACTCTGCAGCTAAGTTGGAAAACACCATCCCTGCAAATGTCTATGGAGATTCTCAGTCATCCAGGTCATGGTTATCCCAAAGGTGCTGTTTTTCCTTCAAGAGGCAACTGTGGTTTCTGGTTTTTCTTCGAAGATGTTTTGCTTCTCATCCAAGAAGCTTCTTCAGCTCCTCTTCTTCAGAGCTGAAGAAGCTTCTTGGATGAGAAGCGAAACGTCTTCAAAGAAAAACCAGAAACCCCAGTTGCCACTTTAAATTGAAGTTAGCAATTTGCCATCCTCGGGTTCCCGTTTGCACAAGCGTACCTAATATTATGCGTGTGTGATATTTTAGTGACATGGCAAATTCTGTGTCTTATCCCATTTAGATTGTGCTATATTCTAAATGATTTCTTAGCGTCTGTAAAAGAGAGCTGGAACTAATTGTGACAGCCGTCCCAGAAATTAATACCATTACTGAAGCTATTGCTTGTAATGTTGAAACGGCCTTAACAGATCCTGGATATATTTTTAACTTCAGAAGGGCTGCCTGTAGGGCTTGGACAGCTGATTTTTATTTTTTTTTTAATCACTCGCAGTCTTAGAGCAACAGAGTACATAGATTATCATGCTAGCACAGATCTAACTAGAAAAGAAGTGTTATGTAACATGTTGCCTTAGAATAAGATGACTGAACTTGGATGGTTTTTTTTTTAAGGCTGCAAATATTTTCTAAATAGGTAAGGCTTTTGATTAACGATTAGAATTAACAGATCTTTTGGCAGTATTTTGAGAAGGCCTGTGACATTTGTCCTAAATTCTGTAGAGATTTTTGCAGAGGGAAAAAAAAATCTTATCTTAAAAAAATGCTTCATCATTTTTTTAGCATCATTCATTTGCTAACATCAAATGAAATCTTTTCAACATCCAGTTTTATCTTTCATGTAACCTTGATACAGGATTGTTTGGTCAATTCATTGTTTTGAGAAGTCAAAACAAAATTCCCAAAGAAGGCATTTGCCAAGAAAACTGCATGCGGATATGTCCACGTGTTCACCAGAGCTGATTTTATAGACCTATTTGTCTTACATATCCTAAATATAGACTTGAATTATATTTAAATCAGACTGTATTCTATTCCTGTTCCTTTTGCATTCTCCGGTGTTCAAATATAGTGGCATTCTTACCCATCATAGATGTTACATTTAATTGCTTTTACGTACTTAATCTCTGAATAAAGGCAAAAATTGCAGAGGTTAAAGCCTTCCAAGATGGGAAGGCTTTTCGTTATTGTATGAACAATAAATCCTTGGAAGATATATATATATATTTTCTGAATAAAGGGCAATAAGCCTATAATTCATCAAATACATGCAAATGAAAACTCCTCAATCTGGTGGGATATGTAATTCAACGTAAGAATCTGACTTGTATTGCTCATCTGCCTGGCTCAGCCTTATTGGTTTGGGATTCCATTTCTAGGGTTTCAGACAGGAGTCCTTGTCAGCCCTGTTCGCAAATGTGGTTGAACCTGGGATTTTCTCCATGTGAAGCACATATAGCAGAGCCATCGTTCTGTTTTCAAGGAACATCTATGAATGTAGATTTTTTTTTAAAAAAAGTCTGAACTCTTGAAAAACAAAATTCACTTTTGCTTCAGAACTGCTCATAGACTTCCTTGGTGGAGATCCTTTGATTGTGAGTTTTTGCTAAGACATTTCAGCACATTCCTCCCCCCCCCTTTTTTTTTTTATTCCTACCATGTTTCCCCGAAAATAAGACCAGGTCTTATATTAATTTTTGCTCCAAAAGACATATTAGGGCTAAGTTTTTGGGAAATACGGTATTAAATGCATCAATCTGTCTGACAATCTTAAGTGGGGCTTATTTTGGGGGCAGGGCTTATATTACGAGCATCCTGAAAAATCACACTGCTTATCTTTCAACCCTCTAAATATTGGGGCTTCACGATAGGGTGAAATCTCCCAAGAATTCTGGTTTTCTGGTGCATCCTTTTTTGATCCGTTTGGATTCTTCTGCCAGAGGCAGAAGTCATGGTTGGTAGGTAAACTAGAGAAGGCATCTCTTTGGTTAGTTCTGCAGCTCCCTCTTCCAGGAGGAACGAAGTGGGAGCTACCTTATTGCGTGCACGAGTTTGCTTTGCTTGCATTGAGCCTGATTTCCCAGATATTTTGTTTATTATGAGATGTGAATGTTCCTGGTATTTGTCAGCTGGGCTTAGCTATTTGTTGTGCCTGGAGAGAGGGGTCCTTTACTTATGCAACAGCAAGTCCAGTTGCACAATGAAACATTAAACTGACACTTAATAGCTAAGAGGATTATACTTCTATGTCTTACCTGCTTTTCTATTTGGGGAAATCTGTACTAGTAATCCTTTTTAGTTTCATTGGAGTATGTAAATAACATGGAACATTCAGAATAACTTTAAAATCTGGATATTTTTTTTAAGGTTAGTTGGACTCTTTGAGTTAGCTTGTTGGAGTCTGGTCTTAACATTGCCTGAACGAATTAATTTAATTTAATTTAATTAATTCCATTTATATGCCGCCCCTCTCCCTTCGAAGACTCAGGGTGGCTCAGAATACATTTTTAAAAAATCATTATAAAAAACATTTAAAAATTAAAAACATTAAAAACTCATTCATGGCCGGATCTCGCCAGATCACAAGAGCGAGATCAACAGCCCCAGGCCTGCTGGAAAAGCCAGGTCTTCACCGCTTAAAGCCAAGCACTCTAGATCTAGTGTCTTTAGGGTGAATCCCCATTCTTGTACAGGCTCCACATTCTCTCTAATGTACCAGTAAAGGAGAATATTTGTAGCTCAGGGTTGCAATGAGGGGTCCTTGGTGCTCTCTGAGCTTGGTGGTTTTCTTGCAGACTGTTTCATTACTAGCACTGATAATGTTACCTGGTTTGTATAATGAAACATCTGCAGGGAAACAACCAAGCTACCCCCACAATCCTCCTCCTCCACAGATCCCAGTCCCTTCTAGCCCTAGTTTGGGAAATGAAACACCTGCAAGACAACAGCCAAGAGCACCCCGGACCCCACAATCCTCCTCTTCCTCCCTAATCCTTCTGATCCTGATGATATTACCTAGTTGGGTCAGGAAACATCTGCAAGAAAACAACCAAGCTCAAAGAGCCCCCAAGGACCCCTCATCTCTAGTGTGTTTTAGAGGACTCGGGAATTCTATGGGACATATTCGACAGCGAAAAGTGTCATAAGAAAAAGTTCAGGTTCCACAATTTTAGTTTTCACTCATTATTGACCAGTGCTGACCATGCAACTGGTTTCAACCTGGATTTGCCTTTGAAATAATTATCACACTTATATCAGATGCAATTGGGATGGGAGGGGGGTGGATGAAGTTTTGGGAGAAAGGGCAGGTCTACTGCTCCCATTCCTAAAAATGGCTTTCCTTCTTCCTCTTCTAGAATCCGGCCACCATCACCAGGATACTCCTCAGCCATTTCAACTGGGATAAAGAAAAGCTGATGGAGAGGTAAGTGAGGTGGTTTCTTTGTGTGTCCATGGACTGGAGGTTTGTCTTGGTCAAGAGATCCCCAAATTTGGCAATTTTGAAGACCTCTGGACTTCAACTCCCGGAATTTACTCAACCAGCATAGCTGGCAGAGGAATTCTGGGAATTGAAGTCCATAGGTCTTAAAGTTGCCAAGCTTGGAGTCCTCTAGTCTTGGTAACTGGGTGGGCAGAAAAGGCAAGGGGTTGGCTAGGAGAAGCTGCTTGTTCTCAAGCGATTATAAGTAAGGGGTTTATTTATTTTCTTCCTTAGGAGGCAGCCATCAAGAAAGCTTCACAATAAATATTGCAACATATGCAATATTGGTTAGAAATTTATTCCTAAAATTGGTTCTTCATCCTGCAGCAATGATGCAAAGGACTAATAATATAATTAAAGAAACTCGAGCAGAAAAAAAATAACTCTTCGATAATTGCTTGGTCTTCCTCCTGGGTAGCCAGAATAGCAAGAAACTCAGCTATTGTGATTCCTACATTCTTTCAACAAATAGGGAGTAGGAAAAGGGCCATCTTTGTGAGCCAGGCCCATCATGCCTTGACATTTGAGGCTACTTAGAAATCAAAGAAGCCCATTGAGATCCCTCGGGAGGAGAGGAGGAAAAATGTTTCTTTACTTGGGCCAGTGATTGGAAAGTTACATGGTTTGGGCTTCTGCAAAATCCCTTGCACAATTATTTCAGCCTGGGTGGTATAATTCCGTATCTCTCACAACATATTTTAAAAAGCACGTGGTGCCATTATGCGGCCCATCCTTAACCAAAGATGCTAACAGTTTGGAATTTGTTGTGGAATAAAGTTAAGATATTTGTAACATGAGATAAAAGATGATTTTTTTGTTTAATAGAAACAATTGGCATAGAGGCATAAACTTCAGTGCTAGCTGCATTAGTATCGGAACTCGCTTAGTAAAATTTATGTCAGAGATATAATGTGGCTTTGGCCTTATCTGTTGGGTGGACCAAAATATGGTTGCTTAGTTAATAGATTGGTGAAATGCACTTTGGGTGAGTGTAATAGAGAAGTGCAAGCTTGGAAAGGCTCCTAAAATGGCCTTAGGAGTTAAATGCTTAAACTTGCAACAATAGTCCGGAGCCTTTCTTATCAGCATAGTTAATTGACTGGCTTTATCTAGTTGCAATTAATGATACCGGCATTTTGAATACTTTTCATGTTGGAGAGTTTATCTACAAGCCTTAATCTGTCGAAGCAATGGTTTTCACTTTCAGTTTTTGATATCTAATTTCAAATCACTTTTAAGAGAACGTGGGAGGCTAGACAATATTCATTCATCGCTAGGGAGAATGCATCCAGTTTGATATTTTTTTTCAGAAGCAAAACTTGAGCTGCTGAACTAACAAGTATATTTCTTTGGAGAGAAGGAAAATGTGTTGTCTATGACAGTTCTAATTTAATATTTAATTGCCGAAGCCAACATTATTTAGAAAGCTTTTTGTACACGGGGCTGCGTTCGTATGGCTGAATATTTTTTTTAATGTGTTTATTGATTGGTGATGGGTCATCAAATTGATGTTGAGTCTTTGTGATGATATAGATGACATTGAAGTTGATCTTTGTGAACTTCTTTCTCCAGGATGTTCTGTTCCTAGTCTGACCCTTCAAGGTCTCCCAAAAATTTGCCCCACTGGCATTGATTGTATCAAGAGTTGCGTTTGGCAAGATGGAAAGGCATCTTTTTGTATTTATCTGTAAATTTAATGTGATTGTATATGTGAGTGTGTGTGTGTGAGAGAGGGAGAGAATGAAAATACACCCATTAGATGCTTACACAGCAACAGGGATTTATGCCTTGAAGTGACCCTTTGAAGCAGGGTGGCCTACTAGTATTTTTCACAGTGCATTTTGCTGTTTTAAAAAACAAACACGAGCAATAGTTTTGTGGATTTAGAGAACCAAGACCATGTGCCTCTTCTAGCTAACAGATGAATTAAAGCACAGAAAGTTTGGATTTATATACAGACCCCAGAGCTCCTGCATGCTGGCTGGAATTATTATTTTCAGGATTTTTTTTTTTAAGGTGGATTTTTCAGAGAATTTTTAAAAAAATTATTCATTAAGCTTCATTCTTCTTTGGGTAGGTACTTTGACGGCAACTTGGAGAAGCTGTTTGCGGAATGTCATGTCATTAATCCTAGTAAAAAGTCTCGAACACGTCAGATGAACACCAGATCATCTGCACAGGACATGCCGTGTCAGATCTGCTATCTCAACTATCCGAATTCGGTGAGTGCCTTCTGAATTGTGCAACCTATAACTGAATATATATTTGAATTTTGATTTTGGAAAGCATTCGGGAAGGTTCCCTTAATCCTCTGCATAAGGCCTAGCTAGTGGTTGATTAGTCTGACCTGATCTTCGTTCCTTAACTATTTGTGTAATCTGCAGACGTGCTTATAGATAAAAGGTAAGACCTAAGATTGTACAAATACACCAATAAATGCCAGATAAATACCTATTTGTAATCTCTAAAATCTTGAGGGAGAAAGAAGAAAAATGCAGTGAGAAGCTATTAGTTAACTGAGATATTCAAACTCATTTTTCCTCTGCATTAGAAGAGACATAATTACATACCAACGATTCTGTTTCCCCCCGCCCACTTCGTTAAATATCTCCTAATTTCATTTCCCTTTCCTGTCTCTCTGCTTATCATGACTGCCTTGTGATCAGATTTCTGCTTCTTAAAGATTTTTGAATATGCTCCACCTAGGGGCTTTAGAGACAAGTAGATCTGCTCACATAAGATGGTTGAAATTTGTGATCATCGCAATGATTGCACAGCTGCTGGAGCAGCAGAATCGGAAGGAAAATTCTGGTTTTACAATTAAGGCAGGAGAATTGTAAAAATTCGGAATAGGAGTCTCCCAAAGTTACATATTTTGATCACAAAAAATATTTAAAGGGATCTTTCTGGATTAGATCAAGGTTCCACTGTATAGGTTGTCCTCACCTAATGACTAAGTCATTTTACAACGATTCAAAGTTACAATGGCCACGGAATGGGTGCTTTATAGCCTGGGAAATGACTGCCTTGTTTACTTAATGACTACTGTGAAAAAAACGCAGACAATTACTTTCGGTCATGTGCGTGCGCCTCAACTTACAACTGCAACAACTTACCCGTGTAATCCTGGGCTCAATTACAGTCGTAAATCGAGGACAACCTAACCTTGTACCCCCAGAATATTGGGAGGTGCTTGATTGCCCAATAGGTTTGGCAGATGCTGTAGATGGAGATGAAGTCAGTGCCCGGTATACAAAGCAGGGCTTGAAAACAGGGGTGAAATCCAGCAGGTTCTGACAGGTTATGGAGAACCGGTAGCGGAAATTTTGAGTAGGTTGGAGAACCGGCAAATACCACCTCTGGCTGGCCCCAGAGTGGGGAGGGAATGGGGATTTTGCAGTATCCTTCCCCTGCCACGCCCACCAAGCCACACCATGCCCACCAAGCCACGCTCACAGAACCGGAAATAAAAAAAATTGGATTTCACCACTGCTTTAAAGTTCCAACATCTGGACCTGTCCACCACCGGTCCTAAACATGGTGCCTTAATGGGAGATTTTGGCGAATACTCCAGCTTGTTCATTAGGCATCTTAAATGACATTGTTTTAGTGCGAAAACCGCAGGAAGGGGGTGGCAGCATGATTGGGATAGTGGGGTCAGGAATTCTGCGTGGATTTCCTGGCACTTTGGTCAGTGGCGGCTGGGATGAATGTTTGTAGCAGATCCTTGGGGGAGGTGGGAGACTCTCACCCCCCCAAAGCCCATGGGTTCTATTGTTGTTTCTGTGTTATTCTGAGCGTCCGTCCAGTTTCACAGCTGCGAAAATGAATAACGCTAATGGCGATTTGTCTTTACAGTATTTCACTGGCTTGGAGTGTGGACATAAGTTTTGCATGCAGTGCTGGAGTGAATATTTAACTACCAAAATAATGGAGGAGGGCATGGGACAGGTAAAATTTCTCCCATCTTGTGTTTATACGGAAATGACGGTTTTAAAGGAAGGGCTGCATCAGGCTCCAGCTGTTCCTTTGATGAGCCCCCCTGCCTGCCCTCACCCCCCAAAAAAATTAGGAAGCAGCTGAGAGTTTGCATTGTTGGCGCTTTTCAGAAGCACCCGCAGTAGAAACTGAGAAGCTTGTTATTGAGAGAAGTCAGGTGGGGTCTTGCTGGCATGTCTTGGGCTTCTCCTTTCAAGACCTACGGGGAGAAGGGAAGCATGGAACCCCGAAGCCCATCTCAGATAGCCTGGCTCTCCGGAAGCTGGGAGGAGGAAACCCAGTTTAGACTAGTGGTTAAATGTCTATGGAGATACTTTGAAAGAAAGCACCTTTGGGGCTAATGGTCAAGGCACCAGGCTAGAAACCAGGAGACAGTGAGTTCTAGTCCTGCCTTAGGTGTGGAAGCCGGCTGGGTGACTTTAGGCCAATCACCAGGAGATTGTGAGTTCTAGTTCTGTCATGAAAGCCAGCTGGGTGACTTTGGGCCAATCACCAGGAGACTGAGTTCTAGTTCTGTCTTAGGCATGAAAGCCAATTGGGTGACTTTGGGTCAATCACCAGAAGGCTGTGAGTTCTAGTTCCTCCTTAAGTAGAGAAGTCAGTTTGGATGACTTTGGACCAGTCTCTCTTAACGCAGCTCCCTTCACAGGGTTGTTGTGGGGAAAACAGGAGGGATATAAGTAAAATAAATAGGCACAGTCTTGCACTGGTTTGGAATTGCAAAAAAAATAAAAAAAAATGCTTCTGTAGAGTTTTTTCTTTTTTTGAGACATCAATACCTAAACTAATCAGATGTGTTTTTTTCTGTCTTCTCTTTCTTCCCATCACTTCTCGGATGTCCTTGCTAGACAATCTCATGCCCGGCTCACGGCTGTGATATCTTGGTTGATGACAATACAGTTATGTAAGTATTGCGGTTGACGCAGTTTCAATAACACTTGCATTTTCTGAAGCTTTTACGCCGATGGCTTGGCTCCACCGTCTACGGAGGGATGAGTCAACCACGTTGTTAACATCCCAGGACTCTCGTCCCTGTGGGCCTCTCAGGAACAGGGAACTTTCCCCACCAAAGTGGGCTTTTGCTGCCCACTCCTTCCTCTCTTAACTTGCCATGAGCCGTGGTGGCGCAGTGGTTAGAATGCAGCATTGCAGGCTGACTCTTCCCACTGTCAGGAGTTCGATCCTGAGCGGCTCAGGGTTGACTCAGCCTCCTGTCTTTCTGAGGTCGGTAAAATGAAGACCCAGATTCTCGGAGGGAAATAGGCTGAATGTGTAAACCGCTTAGAGAGGGCTGTAAAGCCCTGTGAAGTGGTATATAAGTCTTAAGTGCTATTGATAAGTACCAAGTGCTGCTTACTCAGTTGTTTGATCAAGAATGAAGATGCAACATCAGGCCCTTCCTTTCATGTACAAATAGTCCTCGACTTACGACCCCAATTCGGCCCCAAATTCCCATTGCTAAGCAAGACAGTTGTTAAGTGAGTTTTGTCCCATTTTGCGGCTGACCTTGCCACCGTTGTTAAGGGGATCACCGTAGCGGTTAAGTTAGTGGCACGGTTGTTAAATGAATCCGGCTTCCCCATTGACTTGACTCATCAGAAGGTCGCCAAAGGGGAATCCCGTGACCCCGGGATCCTGCAACCGTCGTAAATACGAGTCAGTTGCCAAGCGTCCGAATTTTGATCCCCTGACCGAGGAGATGCTTCGACGGTCCTAAGTGTGAAAAACGGTCCTAAGCCACATTTTTCAGTATCGTCGTAACTTGGAATGGTCACTAAACGAACTCTTGTAAATTGAGGACTACCTGTACTTTTGCGAGAGGGTCATAATGGGAAGCGGGATGGAAGCAGATAAAAGGGATAGAGGGGTGGAAGAACGGTGGCGTAAACTCGGAAACAGCTTTGAACTGTGTTGATCGAGGTCGTTAAGAATTGTTTCTCTTTTAAGTCACCCAAAATTGGGACCGAACTTCCCCAGTGCTGTTTCCACAGCTTTGAAGCAAAGCAGAGTGACTCTGAAGCCCAAATTAGGTCATCTAATAAATCCAATTCATGATCTCACAGCCTTGCTTGACACGGTTGGGCTCTTGCGTAATCCTTTCCAGGAATAAAATGCCGGGTTTGAATGAATCCCTTTGGCCCTTTTGATCCTGCGGAAGGGACTTCAGAGATCCTTCCTTTCTCAATAGTCTGTCCTACCATTTGCATGTTAAACTCAGGTGGGGGTGGGGGAGATTACATTATTTGCAGGGGAGTTTGGTCTTCCCATGTGTAACTCGTATATAGCCATTCGTTTCCTGATTCGTAAATCTGAAATACTCCCAGTTAAAACCCTGTGAGTTTAAATTGCCTCAGGCAAACCCCTTCCTTTTGGCCTGGCATTTGACCAAGTTGTTGCTGGCACTGTTACAGTGGTTATATCAGCTGTGTAGGCAGCTCTTTCTGAGATGCATTTCCTGCCTCTCTAGGAGTTGCCTTACCTGCTCCTGTGAGGCATTTTCCGGTTCCTGTCATATGTATATATAGAGTAGAGTAGAGTAGAGTAGAGTAGAGTAGAGTAGAATTTAGAAGACAAGACAAGATAGAATAGGAATAGGGATAGGATAGGATAGGATAGGATAGAATAGAATAGAATAGAATAGAATAGAATAGAATAGAATAGAATAGAGAATAAGAATAAGAATAAGAATAAGAATAGAATTCTTCATTGGCCAAGTGTGATTGGACACACAAGGAATTTGTCTTCGGTGCATATGCTCTCAGTGTACATAAAAAGACAATACATTCGTCAAGAATCATAAGGTACAACACTTAATGATAGTCATAGGGAACAAATAAGCAATCAAATCATATTAGGAAACAGTCAATATAAACCGTAAGGATACAAGCAACAAGGTTACAGTCATAAGTGGGAGGAGATGGGTGATAGGAACGATGAGAAGATTAATAGTAATGCAGTAATATATACATATATACTCCCAATGAAGGCTTATCACTGTGTTAACTGCATTTTGATTAAACATCTTGAAAGAGGCACCTCTCAGGAAGGGGTCATTCTGCAGTCAGGGTGCCACTTTCAGAAGGGCCAGCTTTCCTGTAAAGATTTAATTTGATTTTTTTTTTGCTGTGGTAGAACAAAAGCCACGCACAGCAAGATAGTGTGGGGAGAGCCACTCCTTCAAATATTGGGGCTTTATTGCTAAGGGAGACTGTTTTTCTCGAAAACGCATTCATTGGGTAAGAAGGTTGGACTCCCTAAGGGAACAAGGTTTTCTGAATGGAATATTATCTTTCTCTTCTCTTTGTAGGCGCCTGATCACAGATTCAAAAGTTAAATTAAAGTACCAGCATTTAATAACTAATAGTTTTGTAGAGGTGAGTGTTCGGTTTAAAACTATATGCTAAGGTGACTTGGTATAGGGGAATTTCTTCCATTTGTTTTAGGATTCCTTGATATGTTAGAAGCCATTTAAATACATGGGGGTGTTGTTGATTGATCAGTGGTGTTCGCTTTTTTGGTTCCATTCTCAGCATTTGATGGCCAAGTCCCCGTTACGGTTGTGAGTGTCTTTAGGTCAACCACTGGCTCTAATGAGACATCATTTTAAAAGCTACAATATTGCTTTGGCTCCAAATCTAAAATTCCTGTCTACGTGAAGGCCACAGTTTTACAGAAGTATTTTAGCCACGTGGTTTGGTTGACAGTTGGAGAGAAACCACTTACTAGCTTCTCATATCTTCATAATAATGTGAAAGGACTGTTAATGAATTAAATTCATCTTTAGATCTAGATGGCGGCTTATAATATCTGCTAAAACTCGGTTGCTTCCAAAACTCTAGGAGGTGTGCAAGGGACCATGCAGTCTTTAGATCTTAATTGTCAGAAAAGTGTGCATGTAACTATGCACTTGTGAGAGGTCAGTGATGTTAATCAACAAGTGCCAAATCTCGACAACAGCAGCCGGCTTTGTGAATGTCTGGTCTGTTGTGTGATGCTGAACCTCAACAGGGTGTCGTTGAACGAAGAGACAGGCAGGAATGGGCCAGTCCTGGAGAGCAGTCTTCCAGTATTTGAGGTGCTGCCACAAAGAAGAGGGGGTCAACCTGTTTTCCAAAGCACCAGAAGGCAAGACAAGAAACAATGGATGGAAATTAATGAAGGAGAGAAGCAACCTAGAATTAAGGAGAAATTTCCTAACAGTGAGGACAATTAATCAATGGAATGGTTGGCCTTCGGAACTTGTGGGTGCTCCAACACTGGAAGTTTTTTTTTTAAAAAAAGATTGGACGGTCATTTGGCTGAAATGGTATGGGGTCTCCTGCTTGAGCAGGGGGTTGGACTAGAAGACTTCCAAGGTTCCTTCCAGCTCTATTTTGATTGATTGATTGATTGATTGATGATAGCAATTCTTCTCCAACCGAACTTGCTTGCAGTTCTGAATTCGTTTATTTAAATCTTAAGTAAGAAGCATGAAGAAGGCTGGAATTCGTTTGGATGAATCTTTAGGTCTCCCTCATTTTTTCCCCCCACTGTGCGTGCATTCGTTCTGACTTCCAGTTTGTTCCAACAAAGAGTAAACTGATAAATTGTTTACTTGTGAATTACATCCGGTGGAAGGTGGAATGCTTCTGGAGAAATGAAATGATTAATCCAACCTTTCTAAACTGGGTGCCGTCCAAATGTAACAACTCCAGAATTTTAAGACTTGTCTATGGAAAATCTCAATCATCCAAGGACATGGTTGGCCCAAAGGTGCTTTTCCAAAAGGCAACTGGACTGACTGACTTTTTCTTTCTTTCTTTCTTTCTTTCTTTCTTTCTTTCTTTCTTTCTTTCTTTCTTTCTTTTTTTTAAGGCAACTGGACTTTCTTTTTTTCCCCCCCTCTTTCCTTCCTTTGCTTTTTAATCCAAGAAGCTTCGTCCAAGTAGAACTGAAGAAGCTACTTGGATGAAAAGTGAAACGTTTTCAAAGGAAAATAAAAAACCAAGAAAGTCCAAGTTGCCTTTTGGAAAAGCACCGTTGGGACAAGTTATGGCTTGCTTCTAACTAAAGCTATGGAATTACCTTTGAATAGGAAGAGAAAATAACAGCAGGCTAGTCTCCACTAGCTTTGGATGAAGCTTTGGATAAAGGATTTCTGGCAAGAGAAGGGAATGGGATGGACTCTTAGCAAGCCATCTTTCAGTGCAATCTGTCAACGTTCCAGAAAAAATCCCAACTCCAAATAAAAACTCTGAAGCAAGCATTTTTCAAAGTTCTATTTACTAGAATAGGTAAATTCTAGTAAATTTACCTAAATTTACAGTAAACATCTGGGAAAACCCGAATTTGAGAGGTCTGGGTTTTCCCTCAGTAAATCAAAACCCCCAAACCATCCCCTCACTCCTCAGTTGATCACATGCTCCAATCACCATCCATCCCATCTCGAGACATCACTCCAACCACTCCTTCTCCAGATGCAGGATCGGCCTGACCTTGACCAACAGGAAGAATGCTATGATGTCTACAGACAACCCCTCTACTAAATCCCCCTCCCTCCTACTTTCCCCACACATGAGAAGGTGGCAGCACGGAAGCTTCCAGCCTAATATGGCTTCCAAAACTGACACAATCTGTCCCTGCCTTCCCTGCAATAACCCCCCCCGCCCTGAATTGAAAGCAGTGAGGCCGTGCCAGTTTTTGTTCTCAGATTTCTTCTGTGCTAACAGTCGGTTTTGTTTCCTGCAGTGCAATCGACTGTTAAAATGGTGTCCTGCTCCAGATTGCCACCATGTTGTCAAAGTACAGTATCCTGATGCTAAGCCCGTTCGCTGTAAATGTGGCCGGCAGTTTTGGTAAGCAGGTTGGACGATAAGAGCACCAAGGCTAGATTTTGGTACCTTGGCATGGTGGGGGGAAATCAGCCTTGGCTTCCTCTGATAGCCCCAACCCAAGGGAACACGGGCTACTGAATATTTTTGGGGGACAGGCAGACTGCTGACTGCCGGTCATAAATTAAGCTTGTGGGTTACAGCAAAGCTCTGTATCTTAAAACATTCCATTTTTTTTTAAAGTATTGCTTAACTGGAAAACTGTCTAAAAAAAAATATTCTAAATGTTTGTTGCAGTTTTAACTGTGGCGAGAACTGGCATGATCCTGTTAAATGCAAGGTGAGCTTTTTTAGCTTTCTGGGTTGCATCTCACGTGTGGCAGTAGAGGAAAGTAATATGGCTTCAGGGGATCAGCATAGCAGCAGCAGTACATGAAAGTTAGGATAACTTGGAAATAACGGCTTTTGAAGAATAGGCCAAGAGGCAGAGGGTTTCACTTCAGGCCCACTTCAGGCCTCCCGCCCAGTTCATAATTTGCATGGCTCACCCTAGCCCTTTTCCAAGGAAGTTGGAATGAATCACTCAAAATCGGGGTGAGCAAACAAACGCACAGTTCTCTGATTGGAAAGCATTTTGTATAAACTGAAGACGTGCAATCAGCTCCGCATGGTGAGATTTGAAACTCACTCCTAACTGCCTTGTTTCCCCGAAAATAAGACCCAACTGGAAAATAAGTCCTAGCATGATTTTTCAGGATGCTTGTAATATAAGCCCTACCCCCCAAAATAAGCCCCAGTTAAGACTGTCAGCCAGATGGGTGCATTTAGTACCGTATCTCCCCCAAAATAAGACCTAACCAGAAAATAAATCCTAGCATGATTTTTCAGGATGCTCGTAATATAAGCCCTACCCCAAAAATAAACCCCAGTTAAGACTGTCAGCCAGATGGGTGCGTTTAGTACCGTATAAAGGTTATTATTATTATTTTCCCCAAAATAAAACCTAACCAGAAAATAAGCCCTAATGCGTCTTTTGGAGCAAAAATTAATATAAGACCCTGTCTTATTTTGGGGGGAACATGGTATTTCCTACTGCTTTTTTTGGTGTCCTGAGAAAGATGCTTTGGAGCTGAACTGGCTTGAATAAGTAAATATTTTTTTTTTTCAATTATTTCTCAAGATGATATGAGTCTATTTGTATATATTCAGCTAGATCTTTCATCTACGAGGCCAGGAATTTTAAATTTTATGACAGCTGTAAACTTTACGTTCATTGATGTTTTATTTTAAATCCTGCTGTGCCCTTTCTTGCCTGATTCCTTTTGGTTTTAGGTAGTTGTTTATTCCTTAAATGTTTTAAAATAATTGGGGAAAAAATTTTTTTTTACAATGTTGCTTATTGTAGAGAACCTGAAGGTGCTGTCCCGTATTTCTGTAGGCAGTCCCTTACATCCGATAAACTCTTAATTTAGGAATTCTGCAATGATGGCATTAGAACAATTGTGATTTTTTTCCCCCCTCTCTCCCGGACAGTGGTTAAAGAAATGGATTAAGAAATGTGATGATGACAGTGAAACTTCGAATTGGATTGCAGCAAACACAAAGGTTTGGTGGTTTGTTTCTCTGGCTCGACACCCTCACAATAACAGTCTCTTTTCTCCCTTACAAGAACGTTCTGTGAAGTCTGACAATTCCTTTTGCATATAGTGAGCAATAATTTTTGCCTGTAAACAATAGGTCTTTGGTTTTCTCTCTTTCCAATTCAAATAACTGAAGAGTCAAAAAAAAAAAAAAAAAAAAAAAGGACCAGTATTCTATTACGCCTGGTTTTGGGGTTTTTGTTTTGTTTTTAATTGCTGAAATATCAGGAGTTTATTGTCTTAACTGAGGAGAATTAACAAACTTGCAATTATTAAAGGCAACTCAGATCAGGAATGGGTCTTCTTTTTGCCATTTCTGGAAATGCAGGAAAGTGTCTTCTGTTCTAGTCTGACTATTGATCCATTGCCGTATTGATCTACAGTGCCTTTCCCAAGATTCAGGCAAATTTTTTACCGAGCCCTTCTGTGCAAATTGCAAAACGTGACCTATGTCCTCTAGGGATATGCAGCCCTTTCTAACCTCGGATTTCTGGAAATGGGCCCCATCTCAAAATGGGTGGCCCATTTTACTCTTTCTAGACAAGCTGTTCAACTAACTCTGTACAGTCTTTCGTTGTCGCTGGCGGAGAAGAGGAAGTGGTTAAGGTGTGTGTGGGGGAGAAAGTAGACGAGTTTTACTCTCTCAAAATAGTGAGATCGGGGCCATTTGGTATACCTGATTCAAAATATTGTTTACATAGCCCATAAGTAACCTCTGGACTTTATAGCTTCAAGACAGGGCGATGGCCACTAATGTAGACTGCTTTGAGAGGGATTTGTATAAATTCAGGAAGGAGAGGTGGATTGGAGAATTTGTAGACTCAGGCTTATGATCCACATACAGTAGTAGGGGAAACAAAGGTGTGGGATGAGTTTGTTTTCTTCTGATGAGCATCCTGGCAGCATTTTGTTAGCCAGAAACAAAAATGCTGGACTACAGTGGTCCTTACCTCAATAGACAGGTGCTAAGTATCTTCTTAGATATTTAGAAAGGCTGAGCGCCAAAGAATTGAGGCCTTTGAACTCTGGTGCTGGAGAAAGACTCCTGCGAGTCCCTTGGACTGCAAGGTGATCCAACCGGTCAGTCCTAGAGAAGATCAACCCTGACTGCTCTTTAGAAGGCCAGATCCTGAAGATGAAACTCAATGAGAAGGAAGGACTCCCTGGAGAAGAGCCTAATGCTGGGAAAGACTGAGGGCAAAAGACGAAGGGGACAACAGAGAATGAGGTGGCTGGATGGAGTCACTGAAGCAGTCGGCATGAGCTTAAATGGATGGTAGAGGACAGGAAGGCCTGAAGGAATGTTGTCCATGGGGTCGCGATGGGTCGGACACAACTTCCTAACTAACAACAACAACAAAGTATCTTCACTACCCTTCTTCTAGGGCTTGTCAATGCGTTCAGAATTTATTTAATATTACAAGCCAGTGTTTTTCAACCTCTGGATCATTTTAAGTTGTGTTTGGCTTCAGCTCCCAGAATGCCCCAGCCAGCATGGGAGTTGAAGTCCACACATCTTAAAATGGCCCAGACTTGTTACAAGGCCTATTTATAAATTAAAGAAAATTAGTAGTAGATTAATCTACTGGTAATTGACACAGAGAAGACGTGTACCACATGAAGGTTTTTCTATAAAAGTTGAGCTGGAAGCAGTGGAATTCTTACTGGTTGTGTTCTCATTACACAAGGCCAACTTTTTGTGCTGCTTAAGGCAGTGGCGGGAAGCCATTTGACAGCTAAAAGTGCAATCCAAGGAGCCTTTTAATTTCATCCGCCCTCCACTATCTCCTTTAAGTCTTTTTTTTCCTACTAATAATAGGGGTGATTAATAATAATGATGTTTTAAATAGGAAGAATAATGCCCTGCTGGTTTTTTGATCTCACCACCCTTCCTGTTGCCCGCAGGAGTGTCCCAAATGCCACGTGACCATCGAAAAAGATGGCGGCTGCAACCACATGGTCTGTCGGAACCAGAATTGTAAAGCAGAGTTTTGCTGGGTGTGTCTCGGCCCATGGGAGCCGCATGGATCTGCCTGGTACATTTGAATAAATTCTTATGGGGGTTTGGGAGCTGTTGGATGGTTAGCAACGTTTTTCTGTAGGAGGAGTGAGCGTCAACATAATTGCTGCATATGGATGAAAAAACAATATTTTTATAAACTCTCTATTACTTGTGGTGAGAAGATAGGAGCTTCAGAGAAACCCTAGTCTGGTCTGTCTCAACCTTTTAGCAATTTTAAGCTGCATGGACTTCCAGCTCCCAGAATTCCCCAGCCAGCATGTGGAAGAAGTTGTGGAGGGAATAATTCCAAATCAGTTTGAGCAAACGCACAGTTCTCTGCCTGATCAACTCAGCATGGTTGAGTTTGAAATTCACTTCTATTTCCCACCGTTTTTTGGCATCCTGTGAAGGATGTTTTGGATCTGAAGCGGTGGTTCTTGCTGGCTGGGGAATTCTGGGAATTGAAGTCCACTTATCTAGGTTGAGAAACACTTCTCTAAGCTGACCACAAAAGAGATTTTGTCCTGTTCACAGTAATATGCTAATGAATGAATGAATGAATCCAGAACTTGGCCTGACAGATACAAATGAGAAGGGATCGTTTTAGAAATCTACATATTCACAAACCTCTTTCAGGTATAACTGCAACCGCTACAACGAGGATGATGCCAAGGCAGCAAGAGATGCCCAAGAGGTGAGTTCATCACTCTTGGCAACCCTCTGCATCAGGAAGCTGTTGACCGCTTGCTAGTCTCTCTCTCTCTCTAGTTGACCAGATGGAGAATGTGGAGTAGGGTGAGCTTCCAGCCTGAAACCCACAACAAGCGGCCGATTTATTTATTGCTTCCTGATGTCAGAGTTCTTGGCTAATTCCTACAAGGAGGCCATTGAAGCTGTTATGCTTTCCCCCTTTCTCTCCTCGAAGCAGTTCTTCTTGAGATGTTCTGCTGTGGATAGACTTGGTACACTGGATGTTGTCGCTGTTTATGTGGTTTTCTTTTATTGACATTCTGGCTGCACACCATCCCTTCTACCTGGAAGATCTTCTTTTCATGTCTCTTCATGGGAAAAAAAATTAATCTGTTAGGTCTTTAGTATTATGAAAAAGCCTGTTATTCCCATTTATAGACCACCCAATCTTTCTTGGCAGTTTACAGATCTTTTTAATCGTGAAAGCTGTTTCTCTAGGCTGCAGACTGCCTGGGAGCCTTCTGCTACGATTTGGGGTTATAGCAGGGATCATCTTTTCTCTTTTCCCCATCCTTAACAATTCAATCTTTATTGTCAACGCACAACATGTGTCCAATGAGATTGGCTGAGCCTCCCTTCGTGCACTCCCCCCCAACATAAATACAAACCATGTTTCCCCGAAAATAAGACCCTGTCTTATATTTTTTTTGAATCCCGAAATAAGCGCTTGGCCTTATTTTCGGGGAGGTCTTATTATTTTGGGGCGCGTGGAGCAAGATGGGGCTCCTCTTGCTGTCTTACCTGATTTCCAGCTCTGCGTTTAAGTATTTTTTTGGGGGGGGAGGCTTATTTTAGTGCACGCGCTCAAAAGCCCGATTGGGCTTATTATCAGGGGATGTCTTATTTTTGGGGAAACAGGGTATCAATAAGAAAGAAAATCCCTAACCCAATAAATCATACTAACAACACACAATCCTCTATACATATATGTGCGTAACATTACATGATAATATATTGCACCAATATGAACATGTTGCGCTGGCCCTGCAAGCCTTATCATACTATATGCTTATGATGTTAGTTGCTGTTCTTCAGCCTGTTCGTACGACTGGCTATGCTTCTCTATCTCCTGCCCGGTTGGTAGGAGAGTAAAGAAGTGCTGACCAGGGTATGAATCATCCCTGAGGATTTTCCTCACTTTTCTCAGGCAGCGAGTCCTGGCGATTTCATCTAGTGATCTCAGGGGGCTGCCCACGATGTTTTGTGCCGTGCTCATCCTCTTGAGCCTCAACCATTTTTCAGCCACCCACAAATAAAACACATCCATGCCTAAATAAAATTTGGCTACCAAGCAAGCTAGAAAATCTTTTCGTGTCTCTGTGACCTTAAGAAATTTGAGCCACTTCACCAAGTTATTTAAGTTAATTTTGGGTTTGTGCTGGAAGGGGAGGTTGTGTCAGGTGGTACCCCGGGGTATCAGATTCAGGGCTTCCCCTGGAGTACTTGCTGAACGAGGCCAAGGCTTGCCCCCCACCCCTTCCTCTGCCCCCAACCCGCCCCGTTTGCCTTGGGGATCCCTCCTTTGCCCCAGGGGAGCCTCTTAGGATTGCTCTGCTTTAATTCTCGCTTTTCCATTTCGCTAATGGGGAATCAAACGCAGCGCTCCAGAGCCGCCCTTCAGAGGTACCTCTTCTACTGCAACCGCTACATGAACCACATGCAGAGCTTGCGCTTTGAGCACAAACTCTACGCCCAAGTCAAGCAGAAGATGGAGGAGATGCAGCAGCACAACATGTCCTGGATCGAAGTCCAGTTCCTGAAGAAAGCGGTCGACGTCCTCTGCCAGTGCCGTGCCACGCTCATGTACACCTACGTCTTTGCCTTCTACCTCAAAAAGAATAACCAATCCATTATCTTTGAGGTAAGAGGCCCCTTTCGGTGCCCTTGAAATCTCCTGGGACGCTTCTCTTAACTGCCCTGGATTTGGTTGGGAGAATAAAAATAGCCATAGCACTTATAGACTTCTATACCGCTTCTCGGTGCTTTACAGCCCTAAGTCAGCCTATTGCCCCCCACAACAATCTGGGTCCTCGTTTTACTGACTTCAGAAGGATGGAAGGCTGAGTAAACCTTGAGCCAGTGAGAATCGAACTCCTGGCAGTGGGCAGAGTAAGTCTGCAATTCTAACATTCTGCATTCTAACCATTGCACCACCACAGAAGGAAGGACGATAGCAATAGCACTTAAGACTTATATACCGATTTACAGTGCTTTACAGCCCCCTCTAAGTGGTTTACAGAGTCATCCTATCGTCCCCAACAATCTGGGGCCTCATTTTACCAACTTTGGAAGGATGGAAGGCTGACATTCCGCTTCTCTGCTACTCTGTGCCAAGTTTGGCCTTGCCCTGCATCTGGAAATTAGCTCTCTGGCAGTATTCCACGTGAGATAGGTGGCTGTTGATAACCTTCCTCTGAAAAGACTGTTTATCAAGTCTTGCGGACTGTAAATGAAAGTAATTTACAGCCGTATAAATCAAAGAGGTTTTGCGGGACTACGATTATGCTTTATACTTTCTAAGGAAGCTTAGGTCAGAACAAATCGCTATTCTGATGTGTATGGTTTTTTTTTTTTTAAACCGAAAGAGTTACTTTAAGTTTTATCGGAGTGTTTTGCATTTTTAGAATAATCAAGCAGACTTGGAAAATGCTACCGAGGTCCTTTCTGGGTATCTGGAACGAGATATATCTCAAGACTCGCTGCAGGATATAAAGCAGAAAGTGCAAGATAAATACAGGTACCCGCTTCGTTTCAGACAGCACGGCTCAAAAATATTTACCATTGATCTTGAATTCACCTGTAGAAGGAAACTTATTCCTTCGATGGCCACTTTTGATTCAAGCGAATGTTCAAGACTGTTGAAATGGAAAAACAAAAAAGAAAAAAACCCCAAAAGTGAAATATAGGAATTAAATTAACAGTTAAAACGTGGGCAAAAGAAGTGCTTTGCTCCTCTATTGAGAGTTTGAAGGCCCAATTCAGCTCCTGAAGGATTATATTCTATAAATCTGTAAGCTGATCGTGAAAATGGTTTCTCCGTTGTGCTGAATAATCGTCAGAGCATCTGCAGAAGGATTGCTCCTGCAGATCTTAATCACTAGATGGATTTGTAAAATAGAGTCAGCACCTCTTAAATCCATATTTTTCAACCGTGGCTACTTCTAAGACGTGTGGACTGCAACTCCCAGAATTCCCCAGCCAGCCATGCTGGCTGGGGGATTGTGGGAGTTGGTCCACAAGTCTTAAAGTTGCCAAATTAGGAGAACCCAACGCTAGAACAAAACATGGCTGGCGGGGGGATTGTGGGAGTTGAAGTCCAGACATCTTAAAGTACTGTATTTTTCGGAGTATAAGACGCACCGGAGTATAAAATGCACCTTAGTTTTTGGGAGGAAAATAAGAAAAAAGCTGATTGGCAGGTGGATTGGCCTCCCGGAATACCCCCAATCAGCTGTTCCCAGAGGTGAATTTTAGCAACAGGTTCCTTGGTTGTCAGCTCTGTGCCTTGCTCTTTTTTTTTTTTTTTTTTTTTGCTTTTTTCCCTCTCTCTTAAACTTCTGAAACCCCCTTTCAGAAAAATCTTTCTGCCTCTGAAAGCCTCTGAAACAGCTTCAGAAAAAAAGCCTCTGAAGCTCTGTTTGGAGGCTTTTTTTCTGAAGCTCTGTTTGGGGGCTTTTTTTCTGAAGCTTTTTTTCTGATGCTTTTTTCAGCCTCTGAAACCTCTGTTTGAGAAGCTGATTTTCACCCTCTTTTTTTGGGGGAAAAAGGTGCGTCTTATACCAGTAGCCAAGGTTGAGATATACCGTTTTAACTGCATAGGGAGAAGAATTATTTGCATGTGACTGGCAAGACCGTGTGCCCAGTTCCTCAACTCCACCCAAAGGCAAAACCTCGTTGCTTTTAAATGTATTTTTTCCCCCGAAATGTTTCGGCCTTGGCATCTAAAGGCGCTCGCCTCACCCCCCTTTTTTCCCCCCTTGCAGATACTGCGAGAGTCGACGAAGGGTGTTGTTGCAACATGTGCATGAAGGCTATGAAAAGGACCTGTGGGAATATATCGAGGACTGAAAAGTGGCCTGCATAAAACGAACTCTGAAAAATCTTTTCCCATCTAGAGTGCTCATACCATTCAGACAAAAACCCACATACACACACACAAACACACACACAAAAGGGGGCACCACGCCTATTACACCGCTGGTCTGTAGTACCGGAATTCTGTTTCTTTTTTTTTTTTTCTCTTTTCTCTTTTTGTTAATGGAAAAAAAAAATTTAAGTAAATTATATTGTAATAAAAAAAAAAAGGTAGATAAACCATTGTACAACAGTATTCTAGGTGGCCAGTGTGACAGACGCACTAAAAGCAAAAAGCAGCCTTCCGACTTTTAACTCGTAGCTTCCTTCCCTGAGCTGACTTTATTTTTCTTTCTCTCTCTCCTCCTCTGCATACGACCGATGAAATTTAAAACAAGTTTCTTGACGCTGCTGTTCATGTCCGACCAGCCGTTTTTGATGTACTTTGGTATGAGATTTTTCCCCTACGCCCCCTCCCCTCCCTTCCTGCCCCTCTCCCCCCACCCCTCTGTAACAAATACACACCAGTTCATGGGTGGTGAATGTTGTTTGGCTTATTGTAAAGATGATTTTTGGGGTCGGGTGGGGAGGAGGAGGGGAGGGCGGGGGGGGGGAGGAAAGGGGCACCAAACAAGGAAAAACAAAAACAAAAAACAAAAAAAAAACAAACCACTTTGTATATGACTTTTAAAAAAAAATACGAAAACGAAAAACAAAAGAGGACAACACAGTATTTTTCAAAATTGTAAATAGCGTATATGCATGGATAAAAAAAAAAAGGAGCAAGCGTGGCACGTGTTTGCATAATGTTTAATTACAAAAAAAAAATATTTATTCTTTAAAAACCTTCAAGATGTCTATTTGCCGTGCATTTCTTCTTCTTCTTCTTTTTTTTCCCAGTTTGCTTTTTATTCAGGGGAAAAGGGTGGGTGGGGTAGGGAGGGGGCAGTGGGCGCTGCTGTAAACAGCTCGTTCTCCCGGCTCAAACAAGATAAATTGATAGAGGGGGGGATATTTTGTGGGGAGAGGGGGGGGTTTCCTCTTCCTTTCACTCCTTGCAACCCATTCCTTGTTCGGGTGTGTTCCTTGCTGGCAACGGACACCGTCCCTTCGGCACTTCCAGCTTCCTTTGGTGTGCGTTTCCCGGGGATTTTGGGTTTTTTTTTGGAAATCAAGAGTGTTGTAATTCCAGCTGCCTTTCCTTTCGGCTTTGAAACAGCCCCGTTTTCCTCCTAACCTCGGCCGTTGGCTCCGTGTGAAAATCCAATGATCTTATTCCCCACCCACCCACCCCCTCCGACTGGCTCTTCCTTCACTCATGGGAAGTTTTGGGCATGTGGGTTTTAAAATGTCTGTACGGAACATCCCTTGTTGACAGTGTCGGGTCTTGGAAACCCGCTGGGAAAAATTGTGGCGTTTGTGGTGGTGGGGGGGTGTTATTGGTGAGGAAAAAGTGCTAGGTGCAGCAAACACTCCCACCTAGTTGCAAGAATCTATAACTGTTTTTCAAGCTCAGCAACGTTAAGAGAGGTGGGCTTCAATTCCCAGAATTCCCCAGCCAGCTTTGCTGGCTGGGGAATTCTGGGAGTTGAAGTCCACACTTCAACGTTTGCTGCGGTTGAGAAAACTGATCTATAGATTCTGGAGCCATTGAATATATATATATTTTTTTCCCGAATGAGGAGGGAATCATGAATATCAAACTATACAAGTCATTTATAGTCTCATATTTTTCTTTTTTTTTTATAATAAAAAGTTACCTTCAAGCACGGTTTGGAAGCTGTTTATTACTGTATGGGAGCTTCTTGTGAGTTGTTTCCCCAGCCGGCTTATGTGGCAGTATTTCTTACTTTCAAATTCAGAGGGAGGAAAAAAAAGCTGGATATACCCCAAAAAATTCTAGCTTGTTTCCTCAAAGGGCTGCTTTTCTGATACTCCCCCCACACCTTTTTTTTTTAAAAGAAACTATTGTTAAGTTTCCAAGGATCTGTTCAGCTTTTTCCATACCTGCGTGCCAGTGACGTTTGTGATTGTGTGTTTAGGGACGACCGGCTCACCCACCCCTGGCAAATATTTCCCTGATTGCAGGAACCGTAAGGTTTTGCACAATCCCGCTATCGGATTTTAAGGGGTTTCCTGCAAATGTGGAAGAGACTCAGCCTGTTTTGGCAGCTCAGCTTTGCATCTGATGAGAACTTCCGTTCTGATTTTGGCTCACCTGTGGATTCCCGAAACAATCCCAAATAATATTTTTCGGTGTAAAAGAAAGAGAGGAGAAAGTTGTTTTCGCTTTGTGACTTCCTACCTGGAATGAAAGTTCGGAATTCGTCAACGGTTTTGGAAAGGTGCAACTTAACTTCTTCCGAAAAATGTCCACATTCAAGTGCAACGCCCGTTCCTTGAATGATTTTTTTTCTTACAGTCTTTGCATGCTTCCGATAAGGCATGACAAAGTGCTTCCAATCCAGTTAAGTGAGGATGTGTGTCTTGTGTGTGTATACTGATCTTTTTATCATCCCTGCTTGGAACTAGCTTGACGGGACAAGTGGTCCATTCCTTGGAGGGCCCCCATGGAATAAACCCCATTCTGTCTCCCTGTGCGCGTCTCATGCTCGGCTCTTTTTCTCAATATTTTGCCATTGCCCCCGTATTATTATAAACAGTATGGTGGTTTTTAACAAAATGTATATAAGAAGCATTTGTTGCACTGTTATCTTCTACTTCAGAAGCTCATATAACCCTTGTGTGTTCATGGAGGGGGGTCGGGGGGTCAGGAGGGGAGCTTCCTAAAATTGGGATTTGCAAAATCGTTTCAACCAGTGTTTCTGGTGATACAAGCAATTTGGGAGATTGTGTAGACTTCAACTCCCAAAATTTCCCCAAGACAGCACATGTTGTCTGGGGAATTCTGGGAGTTGAAGTCCACACATCTTTCAAGTTGCTAAGAAACACTGCTCTATAGGGTTACTCCTAGACCTAATAACTCCTCTCCTTCCTTGCTTCCCAGTCCTTTAGAACAGGGGTCTCCAACCTTGGCAAAGTTTAACCTGGCGGACTTCAACTCCCAGAATCCCTCAGCCAGCAAGCTTGCTGGTTGGGGGATTCTGGGAGTTGAAATCCGCCAGGCTTAATGTTGCTGAGGTTGGAGACCCCTGCTTTAGAAAACAAAGAAAATAGTACCTTTTATATATATATATATATTGTGCTGCCTCCCTATGGGCAGATGGAGTGAGGGTCCTCTAAGCCGCCCCAGACTCTGGCGATCCTGGCCCTTTATCTTACGCTCATTCTCTTCTACCCCATTGAAGTGACTGCATTTGGGTTTTTATCGCTAGCGTTATGTATCAAAACCGTCTCTTTTTTTAAAGTTTTTTCAGAACCATTTAACTCAAACGTGTCGTAGTACAACTGCTGTATTAGAAATCAATTATTGTGTGAGACCAGAGTGGTGTTCTTTGGCAAACTTTTCCATGTATAGAAAGCTCCTGTAATCCAGCATGTAAGAGAGAGATGATAAGACGAGTGGACTGGGCTATGACTGAAGGCTTGTAAGTTTCTTTCCTTTTTTTTTTTTTTCTTTCTTTTTTCCCCCCTCCATCTTTAAAGACCTCCATCTCATGCTGTGGAATTAACTGTTCTTAGACTTCATTGTAACTGGCGGACTGTTCCATGTTAAGGCTAATCAGAGGGAGAAACTGCGTTCTAATTCTAATAAACTTTTATTTTGTTATTTCATTTGTAATTTTTTTTTAAAAGAATGTTCGCTTGCCGTGATTTTGCATCTTCTTTACACCTTAAGGAAAACATCTTGGGCAGGTCAACAGCTGGAAAACGCCAAACAGATGGCTCTCACCCTCCAAGCCTCTGGAAATGATCCAGAGGACTTTCAGGGGGCTCTACTCCCGCACACCGAAGGAGAGTTTTTCAGCCGCTAGACAGCCGATTTGCGCTGTCAAAGCAGCTTTTACGGAGACGCAGGGCTGGCGGTCATAAATGACCGTCCACAGAGCCCGCGGTGCCAACCGGAAGTCCTATTTTGCATCTTCTTTACACCTTAAGGAAAACATCTTGGGCAGGTCAACAGCTGGAAAACGCCAAACAGATGTTAGCCCTCATTGGGATGTATTGCGTTTCAGATACAACCTAATCTGCCTGTTGGCCATAGTCACATCACCTTCCTCCATCTATCTTAACATGATTTTGGTAATGCTCCCCCCTCTCTCAAATTCAGAATAACATAGCTGACTTTTCCTTTAGTATTACCGCAATCTTGGCTACACCAGTGTTGTTTCTTTCAGAGGTTCTAGAACAGGGATCTTCAACCTTGGCAACTTTAAGACTTGTGGACTTCAACTCTGGGAGTTGAAGTCCACAAGTCTTAAAGTTGCCAAGGTTGGAGACCCCTGTTCTAAAAGACCCAAAGACCCTCTCAGGGAGCCAGAATTATTTGCCAGTCTTAATGTTGAAAAATAATACAATATTAAAATCCCATCAAACAAGTGTGAAAAATGGTGGCAAATGCATCGGTTTTAATTTTGAATGCAGTAAATATTGATAAAATATACAAGCCTCTTTTTGTGTCCTGTAAGTTCCAAATGGGTCCTAAGAGAAATAAAATAAAAATTGTAATCTAGGCTAAAATTAGCACAAGCTTTGATCAATGACCTTCACAGACCATGGAACTTAAGTTCAGCAGTTAAACCATTACAATACACCTTATTGCTTCATTTGATAACATTTTATAATTCATCATTTATGCACCCCAGGATATCTTGCTCTTAAGATTTTGCCTCTTCAGTGATGCAGCAGGTAACTTGACTTAGTTATTCTTATCTAAAATCTCTTTCCGGCAAAACCTGTTGTTTACAACTCTTAAAACCCTATCCAAAGCTAGCCCATTCTATAATAACCCTCAAGTGACTGAGTGGAAAAAAAGAAAATGGGCGTTGGTACTTACCTGATACGCCTCTTCTCAGACTGTCGGGCACGGCAGTCAGGATGGGGTGGTGACTTGGTAGAGTTGCTATTGGACCGGGTTAACTTGAAAGAAGGAAGTCCCTCCTCCTGCCTGCTGACTGACAGTTTTGAGACGAGGGAGAAATTACAGGGAGACGTGTCTAGGGAGAGAAACCAACAACATTAGAAGACCCCAACCCCCACCCGGAGGTGCTAGTGCCGGGACCGGCCTCCCCACGCAGGGTGGGGCTGACTGCCGTGCCCGACAGTCTGAGAAGAGGCGTATCAGGTAAGTACCAACGCCCATTCTCCTCCAGTCGGGCACGGCAGTCAGGATGGGACATACCAAAGCCATGTGTCCAGACGGGAGGGAGGAGGCCGGTCCCAAGCTAGGAGGTTGAATGGACGCCCTGGAGGACTCTACGGCCGAAGGCCGCATCCGCCGATGCAAACGTGTCCAAACGATAGTGGCGCACAAAAGGGGAAGGCGATGTCCAGGCTGCCGCCCGACAAATTTCCTCAATGGAGGCTCTGGTAGACCAAGCAGCCGAAGTGGCCGCGCTCCTTGTCGAATGTGCAGTGATTCTGCGTGGCACCGGAAGATCCGAGGCTTCATATGCCGCCGAAATGCACGCCCGAATCCATCGCCCCAAGGTGGTAGAGGAAATTTTAGATCCCAAGGTAGCTGGTAAGAAGGATACGAAGAGGGCGTCCGAACGCCGGAAGGTAGCCGTGCGGGAAACATACACCTTCAACGCTCGACGGACATCCAGGGTATGCCATCGCCTTTCAAGAGGATGTTTAGGGTTAGGGCAGAAGTTCGGGAGCACCACTTCTTGAGCCCGATGGAAAATAGAATTTACTTTTGGGATGAAAGAGGGATCCAATCTCAGTACCACCCGATCCTGGTGGAAGATACAGAGCTCCTTACGAATGGACAGTGCTGCCATTTCAGAAATCCTGCGGGCGGAGGTGACCGCCACGAGAAAGGCGACCTTGAAAGAGAGGTGTTTCAAAGAAACGTCCCTTAGAGGTTCGAACGGAGGAGCCGTAAGAGCCCGGAGGACTTTGGGCAAATCCCAAGACGGGTAGCGGTGGATTGCAGGAGGACGGATGTTGGTAGCGCCGCGGAGGAACTGGCGAATCAGCGGGTCCCGCGACATTGGTTCCGATGAGGAACCGGCCAGGACTGTGGAAAGGGCCGCTACCTGTCGTCGAAGCGTATTAGGAGAAAGGCCAGAGACAAAGCCATCCTGCAGGAACTCGATGACGGAAAGAACTGATGCAGATGGCGGAGAGATACGCTGTTTTACACACCACAGAGAGAAAGCTCGCCAGGTAGCGTCATAAATGCGGGTGGTCGAGGCCCGTCGTGCTGCCTGGATGGTTGAAATAGCGCCGGCCGAAAGGGGAAGCCTGGTCATAAACTCCCGCTCAATCGCCACACGGTGAGATGGTACCAGTGCGGATCTGGATGTTCCAGCAGTCCCTGCTTGAGAACTAACAGGTTGTCCGGTATCCGCCAAGGAGGCTCCACCGACAGAGATCTGAGATCTGCGAACCAGGGGCGACGGTTCCAAGAGGGAGCGATGAGTATCAGTTCCGCGCGTTCCTGGATCAACTTCCGTACCACTCTGGAAAGCAGGTTGACTGGCGGAAAGGCATAAAGAAGTTGATTGGCTGGCCACGGACTCCGAAGGGCATCCACCGCCTCTGCCCCGGGACAGGGGAACCTGGTGAAGAACCGAGGCAGCTGGTGGTTGGTGGCACTGGCGAATAGATCCACCGTTGGGAGTCCGAAACGAAGAGTCACTTCTTGAAACAGTCGAGGAGAAATGGACCATTCTGAGTGGTCGACTGGTGCCCGACTGAGAGAGTCGGCTGTGCGATTCAGAACGCCGGAGATATGGGCCGCTTGTATTGACGCTAAGTGGTCCTCCGCCCAGAGGCCTAACCTCCGAGCCTCCTTCATTAGAACCCTGGAGCGGGTGCCCCCAAGACGGTTCACATGTGCCTTGGCTGTTACGTTGTCAGTTAAGATCAAGATGTCCCGACCTAGCACATGGGTTTCGAAGGCCTTTAGAGCCATGAAAATGGCCCGCAGTTCGAGCACATTGATGTTCATCCTCTGCTCGTAAGGTGTCCATTGGCCTTGCGCCAGGTGGGGACCCAGGTGGGCTCCCCACCCGGACAAGCTGGCGTCTGTCGTAATCTGAAGACGGTTCGGTTCTCGGAACTTGGTCCCTTTCAGTAGTGCTGATGAGGTCCACCAGGACAGAGACCGTATCACCGAGGGTGGAAGTACCAGAATCGTGGCTGAAGAGTCCCTGTGAGAGCGTTGGAAGGGCAGTAGGGCCCATTGTAAGTCCCTACTGTGCAAACGGGCCCAAGGGACTATCCCAAAGGAGGAGACCATCTTGCCAAGAAGACGGGATAAGATTAAGATCGAGGAAGACCCTTGGCTCTGGACCCGGCCAGCTAACCCTCTAAGGCTGTCAACCCGGTCGGGGGATAGAAACACCTCCGAGGACCTAGTATCGATCACCGCCCCCAGGTGAAGGATCCGGGTAGACGGGGATAAATGGCTCTTAGCGACATTAACAGAAAAGCCATGAGACTGGAGAATCTGAAGGGTCCTAGATAGGTCTGAGTGTGCTTGCTGTACAGACCTGGATAAGATCAAAACATCGTCCAGATAAAAGGATACTCTAATTGGAAGCGTGGCCACATAACCCATAAGGGCCGCCATAATCTTTGTAAAGGTTCTTGGGGCCGAGGATAACCCGAAGGGCAAGGCCCTATATTGGTAATGTTTATTGTTGAAACAAAATCTAAGGAATTTCCGGTGATCGGGAAGGATAGGGACGTGGAGGTAGGCCTCAGTTAAATCCACAGAACATAAAAAATCCCCCTCCCGAATGCCCAGTAAAATTGAATGCAAGGAGTGCATCTTGAACCGGCGGTAAGTTATGTGCCGGTTCAAGGCCTTCAAGTCCAGGATAGGACGCCAACCCCCCGAAGACTTTTGAACTAAAAATAACCTAGAGTAAAACCCTTGACCTAATTCGGAGGAAGGCACTGGTTCGATTGCTTTTATAGTTAACAAGTGATGGATCGCCGCAGAGACCAGGGGCCCTTTGGCACTATCCAGGGACACTGGACAACGAATAAACCTATTAGGTGGACTGGACAAAAACTCTAGGGAAAGGCCGAATTTAATGGTATCCTTTACCCATGCATCAGAAACCGTATCCTCCCAGGCCTGGGAGAAAAGGGCCAGACGACCCCCAAGTTCCTCTCGTGAAGAGCTACTGACGAGACCGGCGAAAGGGACGACCCCTACCGCCTCTCTGACCTCTCTTGGGGGGATACCTGGGGCCTTGTCTGACCTGATTATCGTGAAAGCTCCCACGTTGTTGGAAGGCGCGATGGGGCCTCTGCTGGAAATAGCCGTCTGAAGCTCGAAAGGATTGTGTACGAAAGGAGCCCGACGAGCGACCCTCCGATCTTCGTGACATGGCTGGTAATATCTTCCGGTGATCCCGGGTCTCGATTAGAAGAGGTTCCAGAGCAGGGCCAAAGAGTTTGTCACACGAATAAGGGGCTGAAGCCAGGCGCCATTTACTACGAACGTCGGCTTGCCAATATTTCAGCCAAAGCAGCCGTCGAGAAGTGACCGCGGAACCAATGGCCTTGGCAGAGAATCTGGCTGCAGACAAGGTGGCATCCGCAGAATACTCTACTGCGGCTAGTATCTTGTTAATGTCATGGTGT